CACTGATTTACATTAGCCATGGATCAGCACCCATTATTTTTAAAATAATATAAGGTTAATATTGCAATATTTCCTCTGCACACAATTTCATGCATATTTTTTATTTCTGAGAAATCTATGAAATTCAAAATACGTGGTTATGTATAATTATGATTCATTAATTTTCTTATCTCTTCACTCAAATCCAGCTTTTTCAGGCATCTGTAAACATCCCACATCACAGGTCTGGATGAATTCAAATTGTAATTATGAATGTAACTACATAAATCATTTCCATGGAAAGCTAAGACTTAAAAAATGTCACATTTCAGCATTTAATGAAGTTACAGCAAATGGAAAACTTCGTCTTGTTGTTTAAAAGACATCCTCATGAAATGTAGTAACCTTCACCCATCTCCTTTCCTTCTCCCCCTCCATCACTTTTTTAACAAATAAACAGGAAAATGTGCTTACAGGAAACCAAAACCACCATCATTTCAGTTTATCGATAAAGCGGTAAGTCTTAAAAATGAAATTCAATCAGACTTTTCACAGATGTTCTTCCTGAAGGGGAATAATAATAGTAGATTTTGAGCAACTTTCATACCTAGGAGCTTATAATGTCCTTGCAGAAAATCTCCTTGGCAATGCCACATTATGTGCTTGCCCCTCTGCCAAAAGGAGAAAGAAAAATAAATATGAACACAAAGAAGATTCTCTCCTAATACTTTCTAAAATATGGAATAATATTATATTGTGTATTCAGCAAGGGCTAAATTCAGTATGCCTAGATTATTCTGTATACTGATCAACCTCCCAGTGAAGTAAAGGAAGCAAGGATTTTAGAATGTGGTTATTAGGTTATTATGCAAACAGTACATCTGCCTGCCTGTTTTGCATCAGAACAATTTACAAAAAATGCTTCTTCATTAGGTACAGTAGCAAAGTTCTCTAATGTTGCTGGGCTTGCCACCCTCTGGTTAGTTTAATTAAACGCAGTGGAGTTTTGTTTTAAGTGAGTGAGATAAGTAGAACATGTTTCATATCTTCTCTATGGACTTTCTCTCTAAAGATTTCATGTCTCCAAAGCACCCTTACGAAAAGGAAATGGCACATGGAGTGTTTTGCACGGGCACAAATTCAATCTTGTGCATTTGGCACATACCGTAATTACCTTATTTCCCATTTGCTATAAAGTGGCAAGCCAACAATATCCAGGTTTTTTTCTAGGGGGTAGATTACCCACCATTGTTACAATTTCCCAAGCAGTCCAATTACTACTAATAAAATATTTCCAACAAAGAGCTCAGCAGTCTGAGTTAGAGTCACTGCTCTCACCTTCCCCCAGGCTGCATCACTGTACTCTCCAGGTTTGCAATGTGAGGTCATTGGCAAGGATGTTGTTTTTGCTAGAATTAGACAAATGCAGGTGGTAATGAGAGTTAATGATATGACAGTAAGGGCAATGGATAGCCTAGAGAATGATACAAACTTCTGCAGATTTTATTCCATGCAAGAACAAATTTCAACAATGAAAAAGTATTTCCCAAGAGAAAAAGTCTCAGAGGGATAGCCATGTTAGTCTGTAAATTTAAAAATCAGTAGTCCTGTAGTGCTGTAGGGTATGTTTACACTACAGCGTTATTTCGAAATATCTTATTTAGAAATAGTTAATTCGAAATAAGTTATTTCAAAATAACGCATCTTCACACAAAATGCATTTCGAAATAGAGTTTTGCTATTTTGAAATAGCTTGTCTACACTGAGTGGATGCTGAATCTCATTTAAGGCCGGCCAGAACCAGGTTTTTTGTGAGCCCGGCTGCACTTTCTGCAGGCTGGGTCCTAAACCCAATGAGAGGAGGAAGTGTTATGTAGAAGATCCTACAGATGAAATAAGCAGCCAACTGTAATTGAGTCTTGAATGAAATATGGCTTACAAAAATATTAATACAATTTTCAGTTTCATCAGAAAAGGGATCTCATCATAGATTACTGAGGCAATTGTCTCTTCCTACGCAGAGTGGGGTTTCTGGACACAACATTGTCTGAAATATTGGCACGCTAGAGAAAGATATGAGAAGAGGAAGGATCAGGAGTGTGGAGAAACTTCCTTGTCTCCCCCTTCCACACCCCATCTGCTTATATCCACATGTTGTCTTATAGTTAGATTGTAAACTCTTTGTGGGAAAGGTCTTTTCTCTGCATTTGTACAGCTCCTGGAACAGTGGAATTCTGGTCCATGATACTAACAATTGCAATGATTAAAAATAAAGAGTTGGGGGTATATAGCCTATGAAGCAAAAGCCGAAGTGGGCAGACCTGGAACATTTTAAGAATCTACAAATACCTGAAATAGAAAACTAAAAGGAATTTTGGTGGCATCGTAGCTGACCATCAGGTCTATGTAATTGATGTGAAGGTGGAGGGAGAGTGGACAGGAAAGAATCTTTCAGCTGAGATCTTAAAATTCAATGTTCTATCATTGTAGTGATGAGAAAGTTCTCCCGGCACTTTTTCATAAGGGTAAGCCACCCACAGAGAAAAAAAGCTCCCCTTTTCCTGCTCACCTGTGGCCTCTACTCACAACTCTTCCTCCTTTCTCCCAGCACCTCCAAAGTACTGTGGATCAATTGTTCTGCAGTGTGCAGATGCGCTGTGAGGGAGAGGAGTATGGATGGGGAGTGCTTGGGTGAGGGGGTGGAGAGAGGTGAGGTAGGGCCTTGTGGGAAGGAGGGAAGAAGAAGTAAAATCGGGTGGGATAGAAGTTTAGGAGAAGGCATAGAATGGGGGCAGAGCAAGGAGATAAGCAAGGACTGAGCACCCACAGAGACAATTAGAAGCTGGAGCCTGTGAGAGTTAAGTTTCGCTGTGGTCTCACTGTCTATAAAATACGTTTCATATAAACGCTATTGTACAGTGTTCTATAGTTGGCACTCTGTACCTCACTGCACAGATATAGCAGTATACAATTTATAAAATGTTTTGGCAAGACCTAAGGGCTAGACACTGTAATTAGGTCCACTGGGTCGCAACCCACTAACTACACCTCGGCTTATAGTTGTTTTTGACTGGATGCTGGAGCTAGCCTTGTCAAAGCTGCCAAGCGCACCAATAGGAATTTATTTTGCATCAACCCTAGTAACTCTGTTTACTGATTATAAAACTGCCACAAGATATTATAAACACTTGCCCTCCTCCAGCAAAAGACCAGAATAGCACAATGAAATTGATTACTATCTTAAGCATCTCATCAAATGCATTTGGCGGGAATACAGATACTTGAAGTGTATAAACTCACAAGACTGTTTATAGTTCAAAGACTGAAAGAAGGCTTGGAAGGATTTGATTGTTTATCAGGGAATGTGTATAAATGTTGATCTCACCACCCATACATGGGGAAAAAAACAATGAAAAGTGTTTCCATCTAAAATAATCAAAATATAGACACAGGCAAAGTAAGAAAAGGTTGTTTGGGACTTATTAGAGTTTGATTAAAGTCTATTTACTTTTTATATTTTGACATGTGATTTTGACAATTTGTGTTCTAATGGTTATAAAACTTTTTTTTTTTTGGAATCTCAACATCTCCGATCATTAATTTAATATCATCTGACATTCCCACTCCCCCATCAATTCCCACAACTGTGAAAACTTAAATTGATAACGTAACAAAAAATGCTTCCACATAATTTTTGGAATTGTGAATATTTAAATAGAGGAAAACAAAAAATGCTGAAAATAAACTTTGATAATATCTATAAAAGTGATAAAAAATAAAATGATTGCATTCTGTCAAATCTAACTATAACTAGCACTGTGCACATCTGGTAACTATTTGTTCATGTCAACCCGCAAAGAAGTCTGTGTTGGTGTCTTAAATATATTTTCCATAAGGTTATTGACTGGTTCCTGCATTGCCAATGCTTAATAATGAAGCAAGGGGGGAAATGAAATGTATTTTCATGCTTTATACATAGAAAAAAAGAAAAGTATAGTTTAAATTCCTATGGTTTTTAAATGAGTAATGAGGCATATTAATTTGCTGTTGACTTGGAAAAGGGAACATTTCTAGGGGGAAAAAAGAATTCCCCATGGAGTTGATTGTAACCTTTTTTTTGTACAAAACCATTTTTAAATGTTGCATTCTATTAAATGACAGTATAATTAAAGGTTGAAATAATAGTACTGATGTCTGTGTGGTAATTCAAACAAACAGTGAAGATAAATAACATTCTAGACTCAAACAAATCTAGGCTAAGGTTGAAAGTGCTATAACATTTACGATACCACATTTCTACACGTTTGTGGATTATGAACATTTTGTAGAGTCTATGGCCAGAAGGAACCAATGTGATCATCAGCTCTGTCCTCTTGCATAACACAATGAGGATATTTTATAGAAAAACAAAATCATCATCAGTGACGGAGAATGCACCAACACCCATGATCAACTGTTCCAATGGTAACTCGTGTGACTGTTCAAATGTCGCCTTATTTCCAATTTAGCTTTCAAAATTCAGCCATCGGACCATGTTATACAGTTCTCTGCTAAACAAAAGAGTCCCTTATAACTATTTATTCTTCATGTACATACAGGTTGAACCTTTCTAGTCCAACACTCTGGTCCAGCAAAATCCATTGTCTGGCATCATTTTAGTTAGCCAGATGTCCACTTATCATGGGGGTGGCCAAGTTTCCCAGCATCCCATAAAGTTTATTTACAGCCACCAGTTCTTGGCTGCTATTTAGATGTAATTTACCCCCTAAATATCTTCTTTTAGCCCAGTAAGCAGTGGAAGTGTTGGTAATGCTGCTAGACAATATTGATCTCCTATGGCTCGGCAAATTCTCTGATCGGCACTAGTCAGGTCCCAAAGGTTCTGGACTAGAGAGGTTCAACCTGTACTTATATTCTGTAATCAAGTCATTCTTTCACCTCCTCCTTGTTAAGCTAAATAAACGTAGTTCTCTGCGTCTAGCACTATAAATCATGTTTTCTTTCCCTTTAATCCTTCTCAGGGCTAGTGTCTGAACTGCTCTAATTTACCAACATCTTTCCTGAATTGTGGGCACCAGTAATGGGCATGATCTTCTGGCAGGGGTTGCACCAGTACCAAATACAGAGGTAAAACAACTTCTCTGTGCCTACTGAAATCCCATTTATTCATATCAAGGTCACAATGACAGAGTCACATCTCCACACCGGGTGTTCATATATAGTTGATTATCCACAACAAATCTTTTTTTGAGTCAATACATCACAGGATAGAGTCCTCCTCAGGCGGATTAAAATCATATTAGCTCCATCTGTGATGCTGCATCACAACGGGTACCTTCAGTACATCCTGAGTGCTATCCCAATATAATAGTGTGCAAACAATAGCCTGATTACTCACATAGAACCACCAGCATGTCTTCCAGGCTCTGTCCCAATGGAGAGATCGCTAGCTAGAGTCTAGATTCCTAGAAGATTACTTAAGATCTTGAGAAATCAAGAAAGTCAAGAAACTAGTAGACAAATGTCTTAAATGGACAGAATAAATCCTGAAGGTTCAGGCATTCAACCTGGACTTGATGTCTCTGTTATCACTATACAAAGTACTATGTCAATTCATTCACACAAGAATAAACCAAAATCTTTCCTTTTTCATTACTCAGGGATTCACTTTGCATCAGTCTGAGAAGTTTCACAAGGTTCAAGGATGCAAGATTGTCCATAACCTTACTTCTTATGGTTGGACTGAAAACTCTTCAAAATACTATAAAATAAATTTTGTTTGCTGTTGAAAAATGAATACTGCTGCATAGGTGGAAAAGTAGCTCTTGAGTAGTGTTGATAGAATGTGAGGTCAGCACTCTGAGCAAATTACGTTATAAACTTAGGGGAGAAAAAAAACCTTCTTACAGTTGTATAATGTTGAAAGAGTTAGATATAAATGTAAAGTAATGCTTCCAGCTGGAAGACAATGTGTATGACACAAATGTATTTCATGAATTAAATAAAGAGAGGTGAACTATCATCCCATGGAGATATTTTATTTATATGCCTCCTTTCTTTCAAGGACTTCATAAACCCTGAAATGCAATACTTACAGAGACACTTTAAAACCTTTTCAGAGTAGCTGGCTTTTAAATCAATTTTACCTTTTTAAAATGAAAAAAAAAACCTTAAATTATCACAGATTAGGATTTGCTCATCTGTATGATTGTAGCCAGACAGGAACCCCCTGCCACATCCATCTAGCTTGCCCCTCTAAGATGTCTCAGAGCACACAGGGCACAAAGAGCAATAAAATCAGCATAGTCTTTGATGCCTTAACAGAAGGCCTGAATATTCTGGCTCATCATGACCCTGGACAATTGTAAACATAGATAAGAGGGCCATCAAGCCAGTTGTTGACCAAGAGGCTGCAGAAACTGCCCTTGGGTAGCACCAATATTGATACGATCACACAACCGTCCCGGGAGAGGAATCTCTCGCTAAGTAAAGAATGTCCAGTAGTCCCAATTTAGTTATCTCTCTCTTACAAGTGTAAATTACCTTCACAACTCTCTTGCAAGAACTGGCATCACAAAGACGAACCAGCACAATTTGGCACCTTAGATAAGAAAGAGAATACATGACCTCACGGATATAAAGATGGGCCCAGCAGCACACTCATTTTGAGAATCAATCCATCAGCTGCCTGCTGGTCTGGCTAGGTGATTGATTCCCGAGGTCCATATGGGGACGCCCAGCCTCGTATTCGTCTTTCCAACGAATTGATCCTGGCCTGACACACTGGAATCGAAAGGCACAGAAGGGGGTAAAAATTTTACCTGTCTGTGTCCTTTTCTTTTGTCATTGTGCACGTATAGCATTAGAGCTCTATAAGGCTAAGTTATCGTTTTGGTACCATTATTTTGGTGCATTTTGTTTTCCCTCCTTCCTTTGTAACCACTTAAGATCTGTATTTGCTAGCAGTTAAGAAGTAGAGCAATAGCCATTGTAATCGTATGATTATAAGTTTCTCTAATAAACCTGTAACTGTTTAAGTTTTAACCTGACTCCTTCTGTTGCTGTAACAGAACCAGAAACAATTAAAAGACTCATAGCCGGTCATGGGTAAATGTAGTAAAAGCTTAGTGTCGAGTTGCGTCGCCTCCACAGGGCAGACTCATGAGGCACCCGTCAGCCTCCCTGGCTGCCCGCTGCGAAGGGACTTTTGTCCTAGCAGTCAAAGACTCGGGTGTATTAGGGTTCACAGACTACTCGCTACCCCAGCCACCAGCTGACAATGATTCATTTAAAAGCATTCAATAATACGGTGGCAATAGAGACACCATAGGAGGGCTTTAAATTTTTTACATTGCAAAGAAATAAACAAAAGCAGAACTGGATATGATCCTATTGTCACTGACCCCATTCTGCAACAGTTTAACTCCATCTACATTAGGGGAATTATTCCTGATTTTCACCAGTGCAACAGAAAACACACTCAGCCCCATTGTATTTTGTCAACCAGGAGGTGCATATCTCAAATCAACAATGTTTAGCAACCATCACTGTATATGGGTACATATGAGAGGGCATATTGGGGCACGAACATGTCACTTGTGCATGGACGTTCCAATGCTTATTATTATGTGTAGGCAAACATTGTAGGAACATTATTCACACATAAATGTAACCCACAATGGGTCACCTACTATCTTTCTACATTTGGCAGGGGTGTGTGAGATGAAACAGCAACAGTGTTTAAGGGAAGATTCTCAAAGGCTGAAAACAGTAGGTGGAGGCATACCTCTCATCTAAAGCCAGCCCTTCAAAGAAAGGAAGTGGCATGGTCCATCCAACAGCCCTCAGAAGACCTGGTAAGATAGTCAAAAGAAGGGAATGCCAGTGTGACAGAGGATGGGGAAGTGACCAGCATCCTCAAAAGACAATGTAAAGAAGTATTTAAGGAGGAAGTATCCTGGATGGACAAGGTTAAAGGGAGGGCTGATTAAAGCATAGTTTTATGTAATACTATTCTTTAACAAAACTGCAGGTTTCATTATTTTTGCTTGAAGGTTGGAAAATGCCTGTATTCTGTAGGTTAATATGACATGCCAGAAATCATTAGAGAGCTGTGTTTTGTTACCAACAAATTTTCTACCCTGCTTACCAAGCCATTTTTCTTCCTATCTCGTAGCCTAGCATTTTCTATTATTTCTCACTACCTTTGACATTTATTTTATTGCTCTCTGGAAAACTGGCTCATACTTACATATGTTTGAAAGTAACATCTTTCTGTAATACTTTTTTAATTAGTCTGTACATTCTCTCTGGGATCTCTGTTTGCTCTAAATCAAGGTGCCTATTTCATACCATATATGACACTATAGTATCTGAAAACTATATAACCTCCATGTCAGTATTTTGCAGCATTTAATTTTTAGTTTGTCATCCCATTATTTTTCTCCCAGGCCTTACCCACCGGGGCAATGAAAATGACTGGCAGCATGGAAGGAAATTCTATATGAGGAGACTGGAAAGATTAGCACAGAGATTTTCAAAGCTACTTCTGAGTTTTGTACATTCAGTGTCCACATTTCTTTTAATGGGATTAGGTATCCTAATCCTATTGTGCCTTTCCAAAATGTGTGCCTGATGTGTTAAGTTTAGAGTAGAAATAAGTACACGGGGACATGAGAGAGGTGTACAAAGTAAACAGTGATACAGAATAGGGAAATTATTTATCTTTTTTCCATGTGTCTTTTGTACCTATAAAAAACAACTGGATTAAATGGGACACCACTGTTACTATTTAAATGACTAAGATTTGCAGAATTGGTTCTTAACACTGATCTATTCCTTCTAATGTGTAAATTCTTAAATATTTCTACTGCAACTGTCAATTAAGTTCCTCTGTATTCAGTAATTTGTTCCCCATCCATTTGTACATTTGCCTTCCTTTAATAATTATTTTTACATTGTACATCTTGTACCCATAGTATCTTTGCTCTTTTAAAATCAATGCACATGCTAATCTCAGCATGTTTTATGAAACACGTGTTTTATATATTAGTTTATCAGCAATTTTGCTTCTCTTATTTGTGGAAGATCAAAATGGCTGTAAATACAACATCTCAATTCTTTACCTGAGATGTAGATTTACCTTCTAACAGTTGATATCTTGATTTTGTTTATGTGAGCTCTGTTTTGGCCTATTTAATTACCATAGTTCCTTTGCTGTGCTGTAGCTGGCAATTCAGCAGTATTCAGATTAGTTATTGTAATGTGATCCATGTGCCATAGCTCTACAGATGATCTCTACTGCTATAGATTTCTCTACTAAAATAGTTACTACAAAATAATTGATGAAACATAGCATTTGGGGCAAATTCCTGAAGCCTTTACTTAGGCTGGCCTCCCATTAGTACTTGAGACCCTCTGGGCTTTTATTTGGAGTTTCCCTAAGTAAGGACTAGGTAAAGACTATATCATTCTCTTCTCTGGCCTTGACAAATCATGTCTTGTGCTGAATATATCCATTCAGAATATTGCTACAAAGATAATTTTCCTAGCTCATCGTGTCAACCATGCCACTGCTCTCCCTGCTTCGCCTCCACTTTCTTCATTGGATCAAGTCTAATATCAGCTTCTTGTCTTCACTATGAAGACTCTCCATGGCCTATTCCTACCCATCACCTCTCACACACTGTTGAAATACCAGTTCCTGACTCTAATCTGCCAATGATACCAGTCGCTACTGCCTACTTCTTCATTTAAATTAAACACCTTCCGGCTTTTTCCTATGCTTTCTCTGCCTCCCATGTGAAATCTGTAAGCAACTCTGAAAGCTCCTCTTTGTCCGCCAGTAAAATTTTTTAATCTATTTTTCATGATGTGCCTCTCAGCTCCCCTTTCCCCACAAAAAAAACTTGACAGTGTTTAAAAAGCTGGAATGTCCAGACTGCTGCCTATTTTAGTGACCAATATTGTCTCATTATTTCTCTTCACTGTGCTCCCTAGATGGTCTTTATGGGTATGTCTACACTACCCTCTCACTGTGCTCCCTAGGTGGTCTTTATGCGTATGTCTACACTACCCTCCTAGTTCAAACTAGAAGGGTAATGTAGGCATACCGCACTTGCAAATGAAGCCCAGGATTTGAATTTCCCAGGCTTCATTTGCATAAGCGGGGCGCCGCCATTTTTAAAACCCCGCTGGTTCGAACCCCGTGCAGCGCGGCTACACGGGGCATGAACTAGGTAGTTCGAACTAGGCTTCCTAGTTCTAACTACCATTACTCCTCATTCCACGAAGTAGGAATAAGAGAGCCTCCGGAAAAGGGCTTTATTCCGGAGGATCGCGCCAGTCTAGACGCTTTTTTTCCGGCTTTTCCCCAAGCCGGAAAAAAAGCGGCGGACATGTTTATTTAAATCCGCGGGGGATATTTAAATCCCCTGAGGATTTCCCTATCCTGCCTTACCTGATTTGCATGGCTTTTCCGGAAATTGTAGCCAGTGTAGGCGTAGCCTATTTGTGTAGGAATTCTAGTTCTTCACTAGCAGCGAGGAGTCCTGTGGCACCTATAGACTAACTGAAGTGCAGGAGCATAATCTTTCATGGGCAAAGACCCACTTCGTCAGATGCATGTAGTGGAAATTTCCAGAGGCAGGTATAAATATGCAGGCCGGGATCAGGCTGGAGATGATGAGGTGGATCCAATAAAGGAGGATGAGGCCCACTTCTAGCAGCTGATCTGGAGGTGTGAATTCCAAGAGAGCAGAAGAAACTCGTCTGCCCCCCTCCAGGCCCTGGAGCCCTTAAAGGGGCACGGGCTGGCTACAGTGCCCGTGCCATGTGCAAGCCTGCCAGCACCCAGCCAGAAGACCCTGCACCTGGCATGGCTCCACCCACCCCCCCCCACGCC